TTTGATTACTCGTTGATTTGATGAAATTTTGTTATGGATCTTCAGGATTACTATGGTGTTCTGAAGTTGGATACTGTTGTAGGAGAATCAGATTTCATAAACAGGTAACTCCTTTATGGTTGGCAAATCTTGTGGCATGCATGAAACATAGATTTTGCTAATTGACATTCTGTCATTAAAGTCAAAGAAATGCTGTGTTGACCTGCTGGCTGTGCCTCAACAAGTCCCATTTTCCATTTCAATTATGAGGCATAGTTGTTAGAATACATTTATTTAAAACAAGGTGTTGCATTAAATTGTTATGTTATTTTATTATCTGTTTCGTCAATATATATGCTAATAGGATGAGCATCTAGAATATCAGAAGGCCCTGTGTAAATTTGTATGAATGTTTATTTCATACTGAATCTTCATAGTACTTATCCTTGCAAGGGTTGTTGCTGTATTACAGATACTCCTACACATTGTAGAAGTATGTTTCTGAGAATTGGTGCCTCCTTTCCTCAACATTGTTGGTTTGGAAAACTGTTTCACACGGAGTATAATTGATGCTTTTTATCTATGAAGTACTCCCTCCCTCCCATAATATAAGACGTCATTACATCCATTATACTCACATATTGGATTTAATAACGTCTTTATTATGGGATGGAGGGAGTTAACATACATCTAAGAAATATATATTTTTGTCTGCACAAATTTAGGTTTCCTGTCCAGTTTTCCATCGAAGTGATCAGGGCAAGACTGCAGAACGATTACTACAGAACTCTGGATGCTGTCCAACATGATGCGACTGTGATGCTTGCCAATGCCAAGTCTTGCTTCTCAAAGAGCTCTGTAATGACCAAAAAGATCCACAGGCTATCAGAGTGGGTCAATGATAACATTCAATCGCTGTAGGGAAAGGTGCTTCTGTGCACTCCATTGGCATCCGTCCTTTTTTTCCCACCTGAATTTACCTATCAGCCAGTGAGACGATCCTTACGTGTGTTACCTTTTGTTAGAGGAATGCTCCAAAGTTTTTTTTTTGAAAGATCCAGCGTCATACTGGCATTTCATTGATAAGCAGGAAGCAATGGAGAAAATACAAAGGGCGAGGTGCAGGTCCTAGGACCAGTTTTGTTACAACACTGTAACCTCGAAAACAAATGTTGGCCTAAACTTTCATGGTGGATCCCAAAAGGGTCGCTCCAGATGAATTGCTCCTGCTTGACGCCAAAGCTCGATGGCATGTTCAATGGCCTTGATGATGTCCTGCGCTGAAGCTGTCTTTCCTTTGAACACACACCTATTCCTTTCTTGCCAGATTTCCCAGCAAGTTAACAGCATGGTGGCGTTGCTGGTCCTTTGTTGTGCTGGCCGGGTATTTGCAGCCATCCGTTGGAGTATGGCGATGGCGCTTTCATCTTGCACCTGTTGCCGTGGGTGCAAGCGCCGACACCCACGTCTTGCGGCTACCTTCTCCCACACCTCCTGGGCTAGTGGGCAGCTCCAGAAGAGGTGGTGCGCTGTCTCCAGGTTGCGTACACAGAGCGGGCAGAAATAGCAGTTCGGCCAACCACGCCTTTGTAGCCTGTCGCAAGTCCACAGACGGTTTTTCGGTAGGAGCCAGGAGAAGATCTCATCCAGGAACCTTTGCTTCCCAAATCAACTTGTGCCAATCAGCTAGTAATCTGCCCTGGAATTGCACGGCGTAAGCCGAGCTTGCCGAGTATTGTCCCCTAGCCTCTAGATTCCACCTAATCTGGTCAGTACTCCCTTCTGTTAGCACTGTCGGCGCGATCTTGCGGTGCAGCCTGACAAATTCTAGTAGCAGAGGTTGTAGGTTTCCGTGCCGCAGGTCTTTTATCCAAGTATCATGTGTGAGAGCCTCGCGCACCATCCTGTCTTTCCGCTTGGAGTGCGAGTAGAGGAGAGGGAAGGAACTGGCCAGGGTGCACGGCCTGCACCAAGGGGAGTGCCAGAAGAGTGCCTTCGCGCCATCTCCGATGGTGACTATGGTCGCCGCTGTGAAAAGGGCTTTGTCGATGCTGCTGCATGGCGGCTCCATGCCGACCCAGGGCCGCTCAGGGTCCGTCCAGGCTATCCAGAGCCATCGTAATCTAAGGGCGTGGCTGAAACACTCGAGATCGAGGATCCCCAGTCCTACATGTGATGTAGGAGTGCACACCGCGGACCAGTTAACCTTGCAGCTACCGCCTGTGATCGCCTCGTCTTGCTTCCAAAGGAATCTACGCCAGCATCTGTCGATCTCCCTGAGTAGCTTCTTTGGCACTTTGAGGACAGTTAGAGCAAAGGTAGGCATAGCACTGAGGACACATCGGACCAGTACTCGCCTACTAGCTATTGGCAGGAGTTTTCCTTTCCAACCCGCAAGTCGAGCCTTGATCCTGTCAATGATGAATTGTAGGTTTGCCAGTCGTAGCCTAGCTAGTGTCAGCGGCAAGCCTAAATAAGTGGTCGGGAATTGCCCCTCTGCCCCTCCAAAATTTTGCAACACATACCCTAGGTCTATATTCTCACATCTAATGGGTAAGGCCGTCGATTTTGATGGGTTGATGTGTAGTCCGGAGGCAGGGCCAAAATCCCGCAGGATTTCCATGAGTGCATCTATCTCTTCCCTCACAAGATTTGTGAAGATGACGGCGTCGTTGGCGTATAGACTAATCCTAAGCTTTAGCTCCCGCCCTGGTAGTGGTGCGATGATCTGCTGCGCAGCGGCGGCCTGAAGTAGATGGTGCAGCGTGTTGATGGCTAGGATGAAGATGAAGGGCGACAAGGGGTCGCCCTGCCGAAGGCCTCGCCGGTGTCAGATCTTTTTTCCTGGTACTCTGTTAAGGAGGAAGGACGGCGAGGAGGAGGACAACAGCAAGGATATCCAATCTCTCCACCGCGTGCTAAAACCCCGTTGTTGCAGCATCTCTAGGATGTACTCCCAAGACACATTATCGAAGGCCTTGGCGATGTCTAACTTAAGAAGCAGAGCCGGTGTTTTCCGTCTATGTAAGGCCTTGATGCAGTTTTGAACATATAGGAAGCTATCGTGGATGCATTTTGTCCGGAGAAATGCCGACTGTGCTGGTGAGATGAGCGTGTGGATCACGTTGGCCAGCCTAAGGGACAGAACTTTGGAGATCAACTTTGCTATGGAATGTATGAGGCTGATTGGCCGGTAGTCGTTAATAGACACTGCTCCGCCCTTTTTGGGCAGTAATGCAACCACCATAGTGTTCAGGGCTCTAAAATTACTGCCTACTAGGTTGTAGAACTGGTTGAACGCTGCCATGATATCATCTTTGATTGTTGCCCAGCATGATCTGAAGAAGAGGCCACAGAAGCCGTCCGGGCCCGGCGCACGATCCGCCGGTGATGCCTTGATAGCATGCCATACCTCCTCCTCTGTGAAAGGGTTATCAAGCCCTCCTCCTTGCAGCCTTGGCATGGCGAGAGAACGCCAACCGATGGTGGTGTTGCGGTTGGCTGCCGTGCCCAGTATGGAGGAGAAATGATCATAGATCAAATTTTCTTTCTCCTCCTGCTTGATGGCTACACCTGAAGGTCCATGCAGTGAGTGTATGAAACCTTTTCGTCTTCTAGCATTGATCTTCGCTTGGAAGAAAGCAGTTGGCGCATCCCCAGCTCGCAGCCACGTAATTCTGGAGGCCTGACGCTTCCTAGCACGGTCAATGGCCGCTAGCCCTAAAATCTTTAGCTTGAGCATTTTTCGTAGATGAAACTCCGCATCGGACATGGTTCTAGTTTTTTGCGCTACATCGAGGCGTAGGATCACTTCATTTGCAATGTGCATCTGGATCTTTGCCCCACCAAACTGAGATTTGCTCCAAATCTTGAGATCCTTAGCTACCCTACTCATTTTATCTCTTAGCCTTGCGAAGGCGCAACGCGAAGATGTTGGCCTATTCCAGGCATGTTGTACCGTCTCCTGGAAGCGCGGGAACCAGGGCCAGAACGCTTCAAATTTGAATGTTGCCAGTCGACGTGGGGCTGCAGCAGCTGCGAGAAGCAGGGGGCAGTGATCCGAGCAGGATGTCGATGCAGCATGCAGGAGAAAGGATGGAAAAGTCCCTCCCAAGCAATGGTGCAAAAGAACTTGTCGATACTAACTAGGGTGGGGTTTCTACGCTCATTGCTCCAGGTAAAGCGACGGTTTTTGTATTTGATCTCACGGAGGCCACCTGCGTCGATTGCCGCTCTAAATTTTCCCATGATCCGACGATTGATATTGCTGTTATTCTTATCTCTAGCCTCGTATATAATGTTGAAGTCGCCGTTGATGAGCCAAGCTTGTCCAGGTGGGGGGGGGGGGCAATTCTAGCTAATTCCGCGAGAAAATCATCTTTTCTATTGTCATCCGAAGGCCCATAGACCGTGGTTAGCCAGAAATCTCTGCCTGACTGGCCTATCTGCACCCTAGCTGTGATAGAGAATTGCCCTATCAAGTGGGACTGCACCGAGAGTATGGTAGAGTTCCAGAAAATGGCCGCCCCTCCCCTCGTTCCAATGGCTGGGAGAACTATGCATTGGTCAAGCCATGTACCACCTATTTCTCTTGCTAGGCAGGTGGACCAGCAATCGACCTTGGTTTCCTGAATGCAGAGGATTGCCAGCTTGTGAGCGTGTGCAGTGTCTCGGGTGACCGAGCGTCGCGCCGGCGTGTTGAGTCCTCTCACGTTCCAGCTCATGATCGGCATGTTCATGTCATCCATGGGGAAACCAAACAACGCTCAAACTATGGTGGATGGAAACAGGGCGATACTCGATGAAAGGCCGACAACTAACTGTTGTTGCAAATTTAGGGCACATGAACACCATCCGTACATCCTGGGGTCGCCGGCGGCCACCAATATGCCCAAAACCCCGCCGACGAACAGCTAGCCTCCTGGCCTGGCTACTGCTACAACACTTCATGCATGAAAACAAACCTAACTCTACCCAGCACACTGCTGGTTGTCGTCAGCCGATAGCTAAACTAAGATGTTCTAACATGGGGAATGAGGCGGCGCGGCGCTTCCATGCTGGCTAGGCATGCCAGCGATCGCCTTGAGCGCGTTGGCGTCGAGGCTGGTGAGCTTCGCGATGGCAGCGATGTCATGGTCAGACAGAGGTTCATCGAGACGGCGGATGAGGGCTTCAGCAGCTTGAGCCGTCATCTTCTCCTTTGGCCTGAGGACACCGAGGCCCTGCACTAGCCTGAGCGTCGCCCGCTGGGAGACCGGCACCAGGGAAGGGTTGGCAGCTTGTCGTGCGCTCTGCCTGGCCGGCTTGGCCTGTGGGCGAGCCTTGAGAGGCGTCTTGTCTCTTGCCGGTGGCTTTCCGACGATCGCTGGCGCCGGCTTGGAGAAGAGGGGCAGCTGCAGTGCGCCCTCAGCTCCCTCCTCTTGGAGCTGCATCTCAGTGACCCTCTGCATGACTGCACCCAGCTGCACTTCTTGCGTGTTTGCAGCCAGCGGGGTGTGGCGGGCCAGGGACAGGGTAGGCCCCATGTCCAGCGATCCGTCACTGCCTCCATCTTCCCCATCTTCGAAGCGCAACGGCTTGTCAAGCTTGGCGGCGATCTCCTCATCGATCTTCGCGGCCATGGCGTCAGGGCGGTGCCGTGCGGGTGGGGGGAGGGTTTGCTTTGCTCCCTGGAAGAACTCCTCAACCGGGTCCTCTGTCGCGTCCTGCCCCCCAGCAAGGCCTGCACCCTGCCCTTGCTCCTGTGTGAGCCTGCGCGGTGGGGTGAGCAGCGAGGGGCCGCCCGACGACTCTGCCACCGTCGAGCCGCCGGACTTACGCCGGGCCACGCTCTTGCCCCTTGCTTTTGGCTGGCGGAAGGGCCCAGCCGTCGCTTCCTTCCTCTTGACCGGCTCGATCGCGGCCTTCTTATTGATGCAGAGGTGCCTGCCCCGCGGCGCGCCCTGGCGGTGGCGCGAGGCGGGGGTGCGGCTGCGCGGCCGCTCCGCAGGTGGCGCCGGGGCTGGGGCCGAGCCCCTGTCACTGGCACGCCCCCTGCCAAGGAGTGTATCCTTCTAGCTCCTCCTCTGGTACCCAGGGTCTCCGCCGTTGTCGTCGCGCCGGCCATCAACGGCCGGCATGCCCCGGCAGCCCGTGGATGCCACCCGGGGTTGAGGGCGCATGGATGGCATCGGGGCAAGCGCCGGCCGACCATCCTCCACCCGCTCGACCCATACACCCGTCTCGATCTGTGGGTAGGGGAGCTCGTCAGGCTCGTCGTCGTCGGAGGGGATGCCTCTCTACGGCGAGTGGGATGAATGCGGCGAGAGAGGAGTCCAGTCCTCCACGCGATCCAGGTGGAGAAGCAAGTCGTACTGCAGGCGCCATGGCGCGGCTCGGAGGAGAGTAGCCCACCATCTCATCAACGCGGCCGGCGCCCCGGGCATGCTTCCAGATCGTGCGCTTCGTGGGGATGTGGGCAGTGTCCCAGCACCAGACCCAAGATGCGAATAGCTTGGTGTCGACGCGCTGATGGGTCCGGCTGTCGAGGCGGTCGACGATGACCTTGTCGCCGATGGCCTCCACCGCGCCCTCCATTGTCCAGAGCTGCATGGGGAGCTTCTCGATGACCACGCGAACGTGCAGCATCCACTTGAGCCGGACGGCGTGGGCGTCCTCCCTCCAGGGCTCGAGCAGGAACGGCAGGCCATCCACCGACAGCGAGCCGCGCCCCACCGCGAGGTCCTTGTGCGCCGGCAAGGTGAAGTAGACGAAGAAGTCCTCGGGGTCGTGGTTGGTGACGCGGAGCAGGTGTGGAGGGATCTTGAGTTCGCGCTCAAGCGCGCGGCCGATGGAGAGTGGGCTCGCTGCATGCACCTTGGTGCCCACCGCGATGACCACGACCGCATGCTGGTTTAGCAGGAAAACCTGGTGCTCCATCGCCGGCGAGGAGGCGATGACCTTGTGGCTGTTGCGGGGGCAGCGGGCGTGGTTGATGAGGGCAGCCGGCTCCATTGGTTGATGCGGTGAGGCAGGCGGAGGGGGAAAGGTCAGGCGCTCGCGGATCGGCCGGCGCGGGGAGTGCGGCTGAACAACAGCCGAGCCCCGGCCCTTGTTGCGTGGGTTGTCGGCGCACTATCGACCAAAATGGCCCTGGCGTTTGCAGATGATGCAGCGCAGTGGATCCCTACAGTCTACTCGACGGTGGCGAGGGCTCAGGCAGCGGAAGCAGAGGCCCTTGAATCTTCTTAAGAAGGCCTCTCTGCCCGCCGGGTGCCCGTGGCTGTGACCTTGGCGAGATGGCCGGCGCCTCGATTTCTGCCTAGCACTAAATGGATCCTGGCTGGCGCGGCAGTTCTTGCGCGATTGCTGGATTTCCCATCCTTCTTCAATGCCGTCGGTGGCCGGAGATGGGAGGGGATTGTCACTTACCACGATGGATTTGAGGCGGGGGCACTCATTTGGGGGAGCCATGCCGCCATCCGCTGGTCTGAAGCCTGCATCCTCGACCCCCACCCCAGATCCGGGTGGGCGCTAGCTTGGGCTCCGGGGATCCCGCGACGACGGGGACAGAGGAGTCGCCGGCACCTCCGACGGACCGCTGGGCTCGCCCTGGATCTCCCCCTTTTCGGGCATGCTCCATCCCAGGCTCGCAGCTGGCGAGGGCAGGCCACTGGCAGGGGAGCGGGCCGGCATAGCCCCTAGGCCGGCAGCCGGAGTAAAGGCGGGCGGCGGGTGGGTGGGTGGCCGCCGCGGCCGGAGTGGCCCGCGGCGCAGACGGAGGGGGAGGGAGCGGAGCGCTAGAGCGTATCCCTTGCCAATGCTCCGAAGTAGTTACATTGTTTGGGAGGAGATGCAAATTGATGTTAACTAACATCTCTGACCATTTGGCCCCTTGTTGCCATCAAGACAGCTTGAGAGCCTTGTTAGTAGAGAAGATTCTAGCAGAAAATGGTCTACCAGATTGTTGGATCTGTATAGACCATTGTCCTTCGTCAACCTATAAAAAAGAAGGCGAATAAAGCTTCATCAGCATCAACTAGAAGAATAGGCGCGCCTTGCTTTGCCGATGCCACAAACCTTTTTTCTTAACATTTCAATCAATGAAATACACGTGAACTAACACTCAATATGCATATAATTTGCAACTTGTTGGTCAAACTTTATGAAGTTTGCTTTCCTCAATATCGGTTGTGACATATAAAAACCTGTCCATTGTACATTTCACCGTTAGTCCACTCCCTCCCCACCACCCAATTGTCCTATGCAACACAGACAACAACCAGCCATATGGACACGGCATACATATACGTATACACAAAACAACAAAATGGTCAATAATGCATCTGTTAGAAATACATGAATTTATATATTTTTTGTAGTTCACACCAAAATGTATTTTATTGTGAAAATTTACAGAAATATAGAATACATCCCTATGTAAGTTTATTTGTCAGATTAAATGAAACTTCAAAATCTGTTTTTTTTTTCAATAAAAAAAATCTCACCAGTGCTGACAATTGGCATACCGTACATTCCCAACATGGGGTAAGCTGAACCGTCTTTGCCAAGAGTGACACTCGGCAAAGCTTTTATTGAGTATGTTTGGGCCTTTCCCAACATTATTGTAATTTTATGTTTTAGAAATGTTGATTTTTTTTTGCGGGTGAAATGTTGGAATTCTTAATAAGGGGGTTTCTCTTTGAAGATCATAATTAACAATTCTTTTATGTAAATATAAGAGTTCTGAAAATAAAGTAACTTCAATGTTTGATCCTCTTTTTATTTTATGCATTACACATTTAAATGTATTCATTATAACAATGAGGTGGACCTTTATTTTATGCATTACACATTTAAATTTATTCATCATCACTAAGCCCGCGAAAGTTCCAGGCTAAACAACTCACTAGGAGGCGGGGCTAGTTCTCATCTCCTGCAAATGCAATTTTAGCATTATGGGCCTTCTTCTTTAATTGAATCCTTGTTGTCAACAAATTCTGCCGACGCTGCTCCCCCACTCTATTTTTTAATATCTTCTATTCTTAAAAAGTTGATCCCAATTCTTAAAAAGTTGATCCCAATTTCTCAACATGCAAAGTGTCCACCTCAACGTCCCCACTAAGCCATGCATTTCGTATTTTCTTCCATTAAGCCATCCATTTTAAGTCTACCACATAAGCAAACAAGACATTAACATATAAATTATAATGTTTTTTTATTAGTCTACGCATGTTAGTCATTCTTCACATTTTTGCTCGAAATGACATTTCTAACTGTAATTCAAAAGCCCCCCCCCCCCTCTTTTTAGACATTTTTTATTGACTCTCAAGCTTATATTTTCTTTTCATTAGATTTAGGCATTTTTAGCAACTATTTAAGCCTTTTTCAACAAAATTACCGCAACAATGCACGCGGCATCATCTAGTTATAATTGTAACCCGGTACATCAGCAGCAAAGCCGGAGATGCCAGAGCCATTCTGGTTCTTTTGTTTGTCCAAGTTAATTCCGCACTACATATGCATGCAGCCTTGACCATTGCCCTTGAATCCTCTATGTTCAAAGTCCCCTTGGCTTCGGGCAACAAACTTCTATACAATTTTTTTACTCCCTCGGATCTAGATACACTCATATTAGACAAACCTAAGAAAAATAATATGGATCGGAGGAAGTAGCGTTCCTATCACTTGGCTTCTGTGGCGAGGTCATCTCATCTCCGATTCAACTCTCCCTCTCTGGATTAAGGGGCTGTTTGGTTGCCATCCTGAGAGATATTTGTCTGACCAGAGTGAAGGCCGTCATTGCTTTTGAAAGTACCACTAGGTGCTTCAACTTTGCTGGTCTTTGCATTAACCCAACTTCTGTTTATATACGACGTGAATCGGAGTGGCTCGCGGTACGACGGCCTGTCGGACTCATCTCTCCCCGCCGGTGTAGGGCCCATCAGCTCAACATGCCCAAATAAGTCACAAGAGAAACACAAATAGTGAAGGGTCATCATACTGAATATATATAAAAAATCAACCTCCTTCGTCTTTGCGACTCCAACTGCACCCAACGCGCTAGCGGCTCTAGTTAATCCACACTATTATTCTTTGGGAAATTTCCCCACACATATCCACGCGCATCAATGATAACCCATAGGTATAGGGGATCGCGAAATTTTTTGAGGATAGGGTATTCAACCCAAATTTATAGATTTGACACAAGGGGAGCCAAAGAATATTTGCAAGTATTAGCAGCCGAGTTGTCAATTCAACCACACGTGGAGATTAATTATCTGCAGCAAAGTGATCACTAGCAAAGTAGTATGATAGTTTTGATAGTAGTAACAACAACAATAGTAATGGTAACAATGATAGCAATGAATTTGTAGCAAGTGCAATAGTAACAATAGCAGTAGTAACTTAGCAGAAGCAATATGTAGGAAAATCGTAGGCATTGGATCGGCGATTTGTTGGATGATATTCATCATGTAACAGTCATAACCTAGGGCGATGCGGCACTAGCTCCAGTTCATAAATATAATGTAGGCATGTATGGAAGGAAATATGCCCTAGAGGCAATAATAAAGTTACTATTTATTTCCTTATTTCATGATAAATGTTTCTTATTCATGCTATACGGGGGAGGGGGGCACCCCATAGACACACAAGTTGATCTTTAGCCGTGTGCGGTGCCCCCCTCCACAGTTTTCCACCTCGGTCATATTGTCGTAGTGCTTAGGCGAAGGCCTGCGCCGGTAACTTCATCATCACCGTCCACACCGTCATGCTGACGGAACTCTCCCTTGGTCTCAGCTGGATCTAGAGTTCGAGGGACGTCACCGAGTTGAACGTGTGCAGATCACGGGGGTGCCGTGCGTTCGATACTTGATCGGTTGGATCGCGAAGACGTTCGACTACATCAACCGCATTACTTAACGCTTCTGCTTTCGGTCTACGAGGGTACATGGACACACTCTCCCCTCTCGTTGCTATGCATCACCTAGATAGATCTTGCATGATCGTAGGAATTTTTTTTGAAATTATCGCGTTACCGAACATGTATTCCGTAAATAGTCATACGTGCTTATGGAAAGAACTTGCATGCCATCTATTGTCCTACCCTCCCGTGATAGCGGAGTCCTAATGGAAACTAAGGGATATTAAGGCCTCCTTTTAATAGAGAAACGGAACAAAGCATTAGCACACGATGAATACATGAACTCCTCAAGGAAGTGTCCCGACTATTGTCACTCTAGGGTTGCCAGATTATAACACGTTGTAAGTGACTATAACTTGTAAGATCGGATGTAGAACATATATATAATGATGATAACATAAACGGTTCAGATATTAAATCATGACACCCGGGCCCAAAGTGACAAGCATCAAGCATGGCAAAGTTATAGCAACATCAATCTCAGAACATAATGGATACTAGGGATCAAGCCCTAACAAAACTAACTCGATTGCATGATGAATCTCATCCAACTCCTTACCGACCAGCGAGATTATGAAGGAATTACTCACCGGTGGGGAGCATCATGGAATTGGCGATGAAGAAGGGTTGGTGATGACGAAGATCGAAGGTCCCCCTCTTCGGAGCCCCAAAGGGACTCCAGATTTTCCCTCCCGATGAAGAATATGAGATGGTGGCGGCTCCGTCTCGTGAAACACGATAATTCTTTCTCCCTGATTATTATGAAAATATGTGATTTTATAGCATCGGTTTCAGGATCTGCGGGGCCACCAAGTGGGGTCAACCCACCTGGCCGCGCCTGGAAGGCGGGCGGGGGGGGGCACCCTGGTGGGTTGTTCCCACCCAGGTGCCCCCCTCGGGTGGTTCTTGGCTCCAGAAATTATCTTTATTCATATAAAAATTCCTCGCAGAGTTTCGTTCCAATCCGAGAACTTCTATTTCTGCACAAAAACAACACCACGGTAGTTCTGCTAAAAACAGTGTCAGTCCTGGTTAGTTCATTCAAATCATGCAAATTAGAGTCCAAAACAAGAGGAAAAGCGTTAGGAAAAGTAGATACAATGGAGACGTATCAACTCCCCCAAGCTTAAACCGCTTGTCCTCAAGCAATTTAGTTGATAAACTGGAAGCGAAAAAGAAAAAACTTTTACGAACTCTTTTGCTCTTGTTTACGTAAATAAGCTTAAGTAGCACCCAGGTTTTCAGCCAAGATTATAACTAACCATGTCGACAATAATTCTCCAAAATTATATTAACTCATATCAATGACATAATCAGCTAGTGAGCAATAATAAGATATCTCAAACAACAACACTTTGTCAAAACAACCATGATATAATATGACAATAATGGTATCTCGCTAGCCCTTTCTCAGATCGCTAAACATAAATGCAGAGCACCTCCAAAGTTCAAGCAGCGACTAAACATTGTAATTCATGGTAGAAAAGATCCAGTCATGATGCACCCAACATTATCTACACAAAATGCATGAGGATGACAATAGTGATCTCAGGTTCTTGTGCTTATTTGAGAAGGTGATGACACAACATAAAAGTAAATAGATAGTCCCTTCGCAGAGGGAAGTAGTGATTTGCAGCGGTGACAGAGCTCAAGTTTTGAAAATAGTGGTAAATGAATTTTGAGAAATGCACCCCTCTTGTTTATTTCACGACCATTAGTTATCGGTATGTTCCATGCTAAACACATTAGTGGCGGTTCCCAAGCGATAAAA